GTCTGCCCCACGCGCTGGTTGAAGTGGGCCTGGCGGGGTCCAGCTAGCCAGTCTAGGGTTGCATGAGCCAGGGAAGAAGTGGTTAGGTGAGGTCCCCAGTGAGGAGGGGAGGGACCACACTGCACCCAGCTGAAGGACCAGTACCCCTGGAATGAAATTCCTGCTCTGCACCAGGGGTGGCAGGATGGAATTCTGAAACATGTGGGCATTGTGGAAACTGCTCGCCCAGCCAGCACTCAGATTCATGAAGGTGGTTGATGATGGCTTGGAGCATGACAGATGGAAGCTCCCCCCCACCTTTCTCTCCTGGCTGTAGTAAGGGCAGTTGCCATGGAGCAGGCAGGTGATGGGGATGTGGGTCCCGTCCAGGGTCCCAATGCACTGAGGGAATCTCAGGGCATGGAACCCCACCACCACCACCAGGGGGTCATACACATGGAACACAGTATGCCCCAGCACATCCTGGAGGGCACTGCACACCTCCAGGATGGCCTCCCTGGTGGTGGCCTTGCCCATGCTGAATAGGTAGCCAATATAGCAGAGGCCAGTGAGCATGGCCAGCTTGAGCAGGGCAATGGCCAGCCAGGTTTCTGCAGGGAGGGACTACTGTATGGTAGTGTCCTGCCACTTCAGTTGCAGTCAGAGATGCTCCAGGAGGTCCTGGAAGGTGGCCCAGATCATCTGATATGTCTCCAGCCACTGTTCATCATCCCAGGTGGTCTGGACAATGTGCAGCCACTGGTTCTGGCTGGCCAGGTGGCCCCAGAGGCAGTGGGACTGGAGGTCCAGGAGGGTGTGGATGGCTCTGGCAGTGGCGTCCAGAAGCATGTCATCACCATCCCTGCTGGGGTCCTGGCAGCATCTTCATGGTGGCGTAGGACCTGGGACGATGCATTGTGACTCACCAGGTGGTCATTGCATGTGGGGGAGCCTGCAGAGCCCAGGTGGCCCTGGGCCAGATGGTGGTTGCCGTGGTGGGCCAGCAGGGCCAGCAACATAGGCAGCAGGAGCCTGGAACACTGGCCGTCACTGCCAAGGGCAGCAACTGAAGTAGCCATGGTGTGGTGAGGCAGAGGCTGTGGTGAGAGAGCCGCCACGTGCTGTCTTTGCACTCTGCATGCTGCTCCCAGCCAGAAAGGTGGCTGGCCAGGCAGCAGTGTGCGGGTCTGCCTTCTAAAGATGCCTGCTGGCCACAGGCAGCAGCAGCCAGAACTTCCAGCTTCCCTGGTGGTGGTAGGGACCTGTTGCAGGGCCACAGGACACGGGAGCAGATTTGTTGCTAGGAGCAGCAAATCTGCTCCTGCTTCCCTGCATATTTAGATGCATGCCTAGGAGCATTTACTCTTGAGTAGTTACTGCTCTTGGATCTTTTGCATGTATAGATATACCCACTGAGATTCAACTCATTCACTCATTCTAGGCAACCTATCTTCTGCCTTAGAGGACTTTCCCCCATAAGTAGGAGATTGCAGTGCTCTAACCCTATTGATGAGAGATAAATGTAATGATAACTAATATCACACTTGATGCTAGGAATGGACATACCCTTATGAGAGTGTGATTATGAACTTTATGACTTGGGCAGCCTTCACCGCAAACCTGCATTAAGTGAATGGTAGCTAAAGTCTGCCTAATGTGAGCTCACCTTCCCCAAGAAATGACAATGTCATCTGCATTCCTAAACTTGAAAGATTTCTGTGACAATAGATCTCATTTCACATTGCCCTGATTGTATTCAATAGTTCAAAGAGAATCCAGTTATGAATTGCATTTTTAAGCTGTGCACATATACATCTCCATATGCTTTTACATACCCAGTACAGTATAGTATTAAAAAAGAATCTGGTGTCTTGGGTAAAAAAAGAAAAGGGGTGGGGGGGATTGGGAAATGAAAGGAATAAATTGGAGGCACTTTACAAAACAGTATTGAGATGCAGACATCAAACTAAAATGTAATTACATTAATAATCTGTTTACTTTCCTGGCTCTGTTGAATTCCACAGATAATTTCCCTATGTGTTATTTTAGATTTTTTTAAAGCATTTTCAGTTATAAGTGTTCTTTTGTTTTCAGAAGGTTCAAAATACATTTTAAATAAACCCTCAAAGTATCCGTATAAGCAGATCTCATAAAATTCTGAGAGATGTATGTTTTAATCTGTGTCTACATATATTACAAAGTACTTTTAAATGGGATGTATACAGCTAGAGGATGTAGGTAATTTTTTCAAAACTTGGAAAAGATTGAAGCAGGTCTCTTAGATACTAATAATTCATTCACAGCACTATTTTAAAATACAAAGCTTCACTCAGGGATCTTTGCCATGTGTTGTTTACAAGGAATATATAAGGTACCTACTGTGAATCAAATGAAATAGAAGCAAGTAGAAGTAGATGCAAGTGCAATTTGTAAGATAAATTAACTACTGTGTTTGTTTGCTGTATATACTTATTGTATAATTGTAAGCTGTAATTGTTTCTTAAACTACAAAAGATTATTCTCCAGAATGCAATTTAATAGCTTTGTTGAATTACTGAAGCTAGAGTTGGAAAATACCTATTAGATCATATGGTCCATCTAGTTTAAACTTTTTATGTACTGTTGTAATGTTCTTGGATTTATTGTCTCTGACTGTACATGGAAGAACATTTTTTAAATTAATGTGTTTCTAGGAAAAATATAGAATTTCTTTACCATTTCAGAATATACACAGCTTCTCCCATGAGTTACTTGATTTTCTTTTTCTGGAATTGCACCTGCTATATTGATTAATAAAACATACTTCATATATAACAAGCCCTTTTGCTTATATTATGTACATTGCAATACACACACATTTGGCCCATGATATTTTTTCATCTAGGCATATGGCTTTAAATAAGAACATGAAAACACAGTACTATGGGCCAAGAAGAATTCTATTTTGCCTTTTCATATCTAAGTGGCATGTATATAAGGGCCCTGCTACATATTACATATATAACACAATTAACTGGTTAATCATCCAATAAATTTAGATCAGCCACACATGCAAAGTAATTATCACACAATAAAAATGTCTATCCAGCTATAAGAAGAGCCAACCAACTATAATGTTAGTGTTTGAAAATGGGTAAAAATTCTATAGCTGGTTTCTATCCAGTTTTAATTTGAATCTGTAGCAGGGCCTTTACTGCATAAGTGCAACATTTGGCACTCAGGCGGTTTAAATACTGCTTTCACCAGCATAGCTACATTTGCCCTGTGGTAGTAGCCAAGTAGACTGTCAGGTGGAAGGCAATTGCACAGAAATGCACATAATTCCACATAATCACCAAAACCTTGGTTGAAGAAAAACCACAAGTGAGAGATGGAGGTTCAAGACCCTTTGGGTGAGGGGGGACCCAGAACCAGGGTTTTCCATACCCTATATGAGTGCCTTACTAACTGAGTTAAAATTCAGAAGGATGCTTTTCTGCCACCATTCTACTTCAGGTAATTATGCATGGACCTAGTCTGCCACACATGAAAATAAATTCTAAATTCTGACACAGTGCCAAAAATGGTACTCTTGCAGGGATGTAAGTGCTGCTTAATTGCATAGAGCTGAAATAGGAGTTGGCCCTACATGCAAAATCAGGGCCTACTTGGTAGATGGCATTGGTACTAGGCCTGTGTGAAACAGCTAGTATTCACTTCAGATTTGGATTCAGCCAATTCGGGGGACAGTGATTCAATTCAGTAATTTAAATCACTGTCCTGAATCTCCAAATCAGGCAGGCCAGGCCCGTCCCCTGCCCGCTTTCCTAGCCTGGCAATGGCTGCTCCTCCCTCCCCAGCTCCTGGCACTTAGAAAACAAAGCCCCAGCTCACCAGGTGCTGCCAGGTTGGGGGGGATCTCTGCTGCCCCTCACTGCCCCCCACTCCCCCCACTGCCCCATGCTGTTTGGGGGGCTCTGCATGAGCCCCCCTGGCCTCTCCCTGCTGTCCCAGCCCCCCCGCCCCCATGGCTGCCCTGCCCACCGTGTCTCCAGCCCTCTGTCACTGTGTCTGC